TTACGGAGTGACAGAGGAAAATGAAGTTTTGAACCAAAAGGCAAAGTTCGCGGATGAAAAAACCCAACCCAATTAGCTGCTTATGAGGAATCGAAATTCAGAGCATTTGCTCTTCCATCTCCCTCAACAACCTTTTGATTGACTCTGCTTAGATCTGTACAGCAAAGCAGATAAATCGACGTGCCACATGCATGCGATGCTTAATCATTTGTAATAGCCATATTTGCCCTGACATATAATTTGCTGTATCAAGCCAGTTTTTTTCTCACTCACCAGTGTTCTGCTGCTTGGCCTTTGCTTTATAAAACATTTAATAGTTTGCTTTAAATACATCAACATGCTGATATATGATTGCCCTTTGTATGCCTCCTCAAGAAATCATGCACTTTCCTCCTATTGTGCTTTGCATGGGTTGTCATTGGTGAAGAGATCTCGTGTTGGGAAAGAAGGGGTTTTAAGGTCTTGATTTTCTGTCTTGTACAAGCAGCTACTCCGTGCATAAAGGCCATCAGTCCTAGTGAAGGCTGGACCACTGGTGGGGCTACTGTCATCATAATCGGAGACAACTTCTTTGATGGCTTACAAGTCGTATTTGGGACTATGTTGGTCTGGAGTGAGGTAAGCTATCTAAATTGGTGGGCTTTGAACTGTAACATCTTTCCATGAATGATTTTAACAAGCTGTCAATAGGCTATTGACATGAGGTATCATGAGATTTTGTTTCACAGTGCCTTTTTAACCATGAATTCACGTGTGACAATTGACTATGCGGAGCGAGATAGACTGGAGGCACGTCATGGCCCTCTAGTGGAAGACTTGCTGTAGGAGGTCTCCCAGTACAATTGGACAATTAGTGTTAAAATTACTAGAAGTAGCCTTAAGGAGACATATGGAGGCAATTTTCATATGAATGATGCCCTCTGGCCTTTCCTGGAAATGAAAACCAAGGATCATTTACAGAGCTTTTTCTTAAAAACACCCAAACTTGTAGAGCCTGTATCTTCCAACGTGACAGTGAGAAGGGAGAATTTTGAGACCATGAGTGCGATTGAAAGTGGTTTTTGTAATTCTGTGAACGGGCTGGCATTGGTCTTATCAGGGCCTTCCTGCTTCAAGGTGTGCTTTCTCCATGGTTTTTATAGCTGATAACGCCCCACGCCATCAGAGTTCAAACACCACCACGGCACATTCCAGGAGTTGTTGAAGTAACTCTCTCCTACAAATCCAAACAGTTCTGCAAAGGTGCTCCCGGCCGATTCGTCTACACTGGTAAGTGCACGGTTTCCTTACTCCTTTTTGGATACCAGCTCCCATCCCTCCGTGTTATAAACAGGCAGTGCAAAGCATGAACAGGACAGTGCTGGTGAAAAATAGGATGTGTCTTGCAGGAAATGTAGCTGGTGGTGGCTGGACCTCAAAATACCTGTTCTTGTGGGCACCCCAGGAGCTCTGGTGTCTTATCCAAGCCTCCTGGGTCTTGAAAATGTCTTCATGTCTGATGGGATCAAGCTCTCTCACAAGATGCCTGTCACTTCCTGTTCTCATTTTGGCCAGAACTAGATTAACAATGGTATTTCCTACTCTGCTCCAGCCAGAAAAAGGAGTTAGGAGGTACTCAGTGATGAGAAATATTTTTCAGGCTATCTATCTGAAGTTCTTGAACTCCTCTAAAGGTTCAGTTGAAGTTTTAGGCACTGGTTCAAGTAGCCGTTGTTGGATCCAAATAACTTTATCCAGCCTTATTCACAATCTGGCTCTAAGAATTCCTTCAGACCTGAAACTTGGGATGCAAACTCACAAGCCTGGGAATGATTTATTTGTGCCAGTTCTTTTGAATATTGTAATTTACAAGTGCACAAGAAAAAGTTGGAACTTTGTGGTTTCCAGTGGTTTTAATATGAAAATTCTTACTTTGGGATGAAGTGTTGCTGGCTTTTTATCTAAAATGTGTATTCTGTTTTTTTCTGACATTTAACAATGAACTTAACTGAAGTGCTGGAAGGGAAAGGGGAGAAGCAGCAATTTAATCTGCCATACTTGTGGATGAGGATTCTAGGTAATAAATTTGATCTGATGAATCAATCTCTCTTTTGAAAACAAAGAGCCTTTAACTGTTTACTCGACAGACTGCAGGGATTCGGGGAGAGTTCTTGCTGCTTATTGGGTAGATAATGTAGATTGCAGATGATGTGCAGATGATGTGCATTTTGATGAATATTTTCCCACTAGACTGCAACTGTTTCTATCTGTTAATTTAGATCTAATGGGAAAAATGGGTTCCTGGGTAGGTTTAAGCCAGGACTTTTTAAGCAGTTAATGCTTGGTGGCTGTGTTTTTCTGTCTGCCTAAGGTCTGTTGTTGAAACGAACTTCTAAGTGAAGGTAGCATCTGAGATTCCAGTCTTCCATCCATCCCCAAAGAAATCACAGCCTGAGCAAGCCTAGTGCTCACATTTGCGACTGGCTTCCTCACTTGTGGCTGTCAAGGGGGAGACTATTTACATTTTCTTGATCTTTCTGATTGGGTTTTTATTAGCCCCAAATGGGCTGGTGGTGCCCCTGGTGCTTTTGGTGGTAACAAGGGATCTGGAATGCCAGCATTGTTCAGTTGTCTGCTGTGAAGGTGGTGACCGCAGGTGGGGCTGCACCCAGTCACCGCTAGAAATCCTGTTATGGACACAGCCCAGGCAAAGCTCCAGCAGAGTGGCCTGACTAGTACAACTATTTAACTAAGATCAGTGTTCAGCAAAATAAAAAATGAATGAATTAAAAGGCTTAGACTGAGTTCCAGATATTTAAGCCGTTGTGAGCTGGTGCAGTTCCTTGCGCACAGGGAAGCGCCGCAGATTTGAACCAGATGACGGTCTGGCTCTCAGTGCACAGTCCTGGAATTTGGAATTGCCTTAGAGTAATGCCTTTAACTGGTTTCTGAGGTGCAGGTTTTGCAAATTTGGCCAATTTTGCCATTTTCAACTTTGTGTAAATGCAAATATATGGGAAACTGTAAGGAAAAGCCATTTGTTTCTTCTTTCCCAGGGTTGTCTTTTGTCTTTAACACTGGGTAGAGGTGTTCAAAAGAATAGTAGGAATGTCAGGAGCTTCTCCTGCTGGAATTAAATTGCCATAAAGTTATATTACTAACAACACTTTAATGGTAATACAAATGTAAAACACCTTTTGAGGGCGAAAAAAGCCTGCATCCCAGCAATAAGAAAATGAAAAGATAAAGGCAGCGCCTGCCTGACGGAGAAACTTCTGCCTGCTTTGCTTTATCCTGGAGTGATAGGGTGACTGAGATAGTCTTTGGAAATTGCAGCTGCCATTGAGAGCGAAGCCAAGCCTCCCTCTATTTCAGAAAATGAAAATGATGTAGCCCGAGAGGAGGGAGGGGCTGAATCCCCAGGGCATCTGTTTCCCATCAGTGTCCCACCATGCTTGCAGTCTGGCTTGGCACTCTAACATTTAACCTTCCCAGCATGAGGTAGACCATAGGGCAACAAGGCTGCAGAATAATGAAACAAGAGTGTAGTGTGGTGTACAAAGCCTTTGTGAGCAGAGAAGTTGAGACATTAAAAGATCAGGGTAGGGAGATATGAAAGTTCCAGATTTTTCTGCAAAGCCCCCATTAGTCTCAGGCAGAAGGAAGAGTGCACTGGCTCTCAGCAGGCAAAGGCAGGGCCTTTCCCCATCTATCCATGTCTTTTTGCCCGCTGCTTTCAACTATTATAAAGATACAATTACCTTGGGAGATTGTGGCAGTTCAGTTGATTAGCATGGTGAATTAAAAGAATGAGTCACAAATGACATGTCCAGCTCTTCTCTACTAGTCCTTTGTATTCCCAGTGTACCTCACCCCTGTTGTAAGAAGGTCAAAAATTAGAGAGAGATAACAATTTTCAAGCAGCTAGCACTTAGGAGCAGAATTAACAATCATTCTGTATGTAATTGCCAGTTAATAGTAAATTGCCTTCTAGACTGTAAAATGCAATATAAACTGGTGGGCACCTAAAATTAAATTAATGAGGTATTTGCTGCATTTAAAAGTGAGTAGTGCAAATTAATAACTGGGTACAATACTTGTTTTAATATATACCAAACAGTGCATCCCTTGCTTGTTTAATAATAATTTTTTTAAAAAAAAGGCTACCTGAAAAATCCTCTGTCTGTCTGGGTAAATCGAGTGGTTTGTGCAGGTTGTAGCCATGATTTTGCTGGTAAAGTCTTCCAGGTTTCTAAATTAAATATCAGAGGTTATTTTTTTAATTAGAATATAAGCGCTGTGGTGTTATTTGATTACGGCAAATTGTGATTTGTGTGCTTCTGAATGAAATTCTGTTACAGATGAAATTGCACCTTTCTGCATGTATTTCAAGCTCTGTGGATCCCGTTGGTTCACTTTGGGATGAGTGGCAGTGCTGTGTTTACAGTGTAGTTGTGCCACTGTGCGTTACTGTTTTCTCTAAGCGCGTATTTTGCATAATGATTTATTCCCAGCGAATAAAGGCGGCACAGTCCGGCCCGGCGCGTAGGAAAACGGTTTCAAAGAATGCTGTTTGGCTCTTGGAACTTTTCGTGCTGGCTGCTTTCACCCCCGTGTTGCTGTTGCGCTCCCTTATTTTGATAACTTCTTTCTCTCAGTTTAAGAAATGACCCGAATTGTCAGGAGACAGGAGATCACTTGCAGGCGACTGTACCCGGTCGCCGTACGAGGTATTGGCATTCGATTGCAAACATGTCCACAGCAGACCTAGAGGAAGCGTGAATGTTGAATACATGGAACCATTCCCAGGTCTGCAATGCACTGGCTAGATGTGAACATAAAAATGATTATTTTTGCACAAAGACTCGCATTCAATTTTAAGCTCATGAAACCATTACTCAACCAGTAATCGCTCACAGTTTGTGTTCCTTCTGATAGAGTATTTATGTAGAAGGAGGAGGGCCCGGCTCTGCGGCTGGCACGGCACCAAGGGGGGGAAGCCCTCTTTAGTCACTACATTGTCCAGATTTTTCGGTTTGGCTGGATTTTGCCAGGGTATGGAGTCCTCTGCCTTGGCTGGGTTCCCTCGGTTAACCCCCGCTCGGCTTCCCCCTCTGAAAGATCTCGCCTTCCTCAAGTATTTCCCAGGTCTTTTGTGTGCATTCAAATGTGGTTCTGTCAATGGCGCTGTTACACTGTTTAGAGTCAATAGCTCCCTTCCATCACAGCCAACACAAACTAGCTGTCTCATAGGTCAGTGCTCTTTAAACAAATTACTTGTATCCACAGAGCAAATGATTGTTAATTGCCTCCCACAAATCATACTATTTTTACTATGCTAAACTACATGCTAATGCCTTAGTTAAATTTAAATCACCTGATTATTTCTTGTACATATTCAATTATTGTGCTTAAGTATGAAATCTGGTGACTTTGCAAAATGAATGCTAAATATATATATAATGGTGACAGGACTTTATTGCCTTAAAAGAGAAAAAACTATTACAGTTACATCCATTTTAATGAAATCCTCAGCATTTCTAATTCATATATATTGCATTTCCTTTTTTTTTTTTTCTCCTTTTCTTTTTTTTAAAGTGCTCTTGTCCTGAAGCAACTTACAGTTGCTGTTATTACAGTATTGGTTATTTATTGATCAGCCCTCGTGTCAGTATCCGTTGTTAGCAAGCTGAAAAAAAAGCAAGATAGAACAAATATTCTTGCCCTTTCTTCAAGATGGGTCCTTCTGAGTCAGTCAAAGTTTGCATTAAGTCAAAACCAGAAGGCATCTCTGTTAATGTATTCAACTCCTTTATTGTGCTAAAGAATAAGAATATGTATTTTCCTTAAAACAGTAATGTCAAAGAGATCCTGGTTAACTGTCTTTCCTGAGAAAGAAGGTTTTTCAGCATGACATACATTTCTAATTAATAGGGCGATGCTAAACATACAGAAATGATTTAGTGGCATCAAGTCAATAGCGTGTTGGATAATGTATATTATATAATAGCTCTTTTTTAAACAGTAGCAATTCCAGGTTTATCAGGGTCATTGTTGTCCCCTTTCTTTTCTGTCTCAAAGGAGGCCAGAAGAATGAGACATACCATTTGTGCTATTGCACAAGTAGACTATTTGTCCTAATCAGTGACACCCATTTACTAGAATTGCTTAAAATGAACTATACCTCATACAGAAATCGCACATTTAGAGTGTTCCATTCATCATCTGAAAATTGAGGGCCAGTAAACTTTTCTGTTCCTCCAGCGGGATCATAGACATGCATCAAAATG